TCTTTGGCCATTCGGTTGGGCAAGTAGTGGTTGCTTCGTCTTCCTTTCTGAAAGCATTCGCAGACATGCCAAAACCGCCGCAGCTATGATTTCTCAGTGTGGATGAACAGCGGCTGTATGCTAAGGCTCTCTCGGAGATCTGAAATCCGCACTATGTCGAGGCGCGTGTGCACAGCGATTCGTCAAAAATTCCCATTCAACCACTTGTATACGGAATCGAAGTTTTTCAGTTATGGTCCACGATTCATGACTGTAGGTAAACGTCGGGATGAAGATCGACTTGAACTCTGCTGGCAGTTTCAATTTTTCGGTCGATTTCTTTTTCCCATTTTCTATAATGAGTAAACTCGATCCCGAAATAAGTGACTTTCTCTACCTGTTCCACTGCTTCGCGGTTTATCTGCAGATATCAACGGATAGAGGAATGAGAAGGGACTAGGCTTTTTGTTATAGACACTAACGCATGCCGACCTCTTCGCATTCGGCTGCGACCTTTCCAGAGAGCACTAGATATCAGTTTCATAAGAACCAACAAAACGAGATCGTTTGAAACCAGTTACCTTCTCCTCTTTACATTTTCTTGCTGGTGCACTCATCGTTCTCACTGTGCCAGACTTTCTTATCCGTGTGCAAGACAACAGGATAGGTGACAGAACGCAACCTTAACTGAAACCAGTGCTAACGCTGGTTTGAAACGCTTCGACTTAACGCCATTTACTGACGCAGCACCTGCTATTATCATGTAGTGATTGGATGGCCCGTAGCAGCTGGCCATCGATCCCCTGTGTTCGCAGGCACAGCCGCATATTGTTGCGCGGGATTTGGTCATAAGCTTTCTCTAGTCCACAAACAGCATCTTAACTTGTGAGCGAACTTCCACAATTTCTCAACAAGCTGCAGTAAGGCGGATGGTCTTGGATGTGCTTCGTTCGGGCCGGAAGCCCCGCTGCTCATTGCTCGGCACCTCCTTTCTAACACCTTTGCGTAGAGTTTTCTGGGAGGCTCAGTAAGAAAATACCCTGAAAACTAAATGACTCCCAATGGTTTACCTTCTTCAACAGGGGTAGTACAACCCCCGTTCTTCAGCCCACTGGTGTTTTCCCCGTAGCCATTGCAGTTTGACAGACAGGTGTTGGCCACAATGCTTTTAGCATTTGATTGTGGATTTCTTCAATTTCAGCAGCCTTGTCACTTTTCCAGCTTTGTACAGCCTCTGTGACTTCATCTGCTGAAAGACTACTATCCATTGCCTGCTGCTTTTCGGGCATCTTGTTCTACTGTTGCTCGGGGTTAAGGAGTTCGTCAAAGTACTCGCTCTGTTGCTGAAGTATGTCCTCTTCCTCGATAATATAGCGTCCAGACTAGTCCTTCACGACTGTTATACTACCCTTCTTTCCATCTCGGAAGTGGCGGATGGTCTACCGGCATTTGCCGTCTGGAAATTCGGCACCAGTATCTCACCTAGTTTTTCCCAGAAATTAGCCACGTTTTAACCATTGCTTTTCCTGCCATCTTGGGCTCTTCTTCGTGCAGCATACGAGTTGATTGCTTATTACTTCCAAACCATCTGTGGAATGCCGCTTTCTTATCGATGATGCCAGTACCTACAGCGTTCACCACTAAGTTCATTTCTGACCACCAGGCGGCAGGAGAACTCGTTTTAAACTACAGCACTCGGCATCAGCCGTGATTTAGCCGCTCTTTGAGAGATTTCACTTAATTTCCATATCAGCAGTCATCACTGGGATCTGTGCAAACCATCTTGCTATGTTGTTTGCAAGTTTTGCTGTCGTATCCGCAAAAGATTGTTTTTATTTGATTCTTCGGTTTCTTCTGCCGCCAGGTCGTGGCGTGGTATCCCATCTTTTGCAACATAAGGTGCCAGCAACAACATTAATATCTGTTAACAGTTTCGTGCTTCTTAACGCGAGCATAAATTACAGAGCTACGTTAGTCAGACGATACGATTATCAAATCGTTCTTCGGCTTTTGTGCACAAGCGTCCATGTACCAAGTTTACTGATGCACGCTTCGTTGCTCGAAGGTGTTCATAATGGACAGTTCGTTGTTTGAACAAAACCGCAACTGCCGTGCTGTTACTGTTTGGATCGATAGGGCGGTTATTTCCAGTCACGCCTTTCCACTTTTAAGCGTCTGCTCTGACATGCGCATTAAATTCGCCCATTAGAATGAGGGGCTCCTTAGCCGGCACTCTGTACAGAACACCCCATTTCTTCAAGGAAGGACTTATTCTCCCTCGAAATATTGGGCGCATAGACGTGTAACAAGGTCAGTTTTAGCCTGTTACAAGTTCAGTCGGAGGATTGCCGCTCCTCCGCTGCAAGGCTTTTATTCAATGATTCTGTCATTCAGGTTGGGTTCTACGAGAACACCGATCTGAGGGCGCGTCGCGATGTCGACACCTGAGTTGAATAATCTGAATAACACCGGCGGATGTTTAGAATACAAGAGCGTTTATGCTTCGTTATCGAAAGTCCAGCTGTCTCGAGTTGTTACCTTGAGGCCTCATCAGCGTGTTCCTGCTTTTTTCCCTCTGAGTAAAGACGTTCCATTTTCTGACTGTAAGCTCCCAGTGGTAGTGTCGTTCCCATGGAGCCTTTTCTTTATCGACATCGCGCTGTCTGCCTCCGTTCATTACGGGTAGCGACTCCTTTCCTGACTGGTATCTTTTCATTTTGTCGATCTTCATCAACCGTTATCGTGCCGCTGCGCCCCTGACTGCCAGAAGGCGTGATGCAGGCTCTCATCGCTGACTTTTCGCAGCCTGCCTCAGTCCCCCAATAGCCTGCGTGGATCTTGGTAACTATGAGACAGCCGAGCCTTTATGCCCTTAGTTAACGGCTATATCATGACGTGCATGTGGCTAAACTTTATGGGAGATGTCGCCTAGTTTCCACTTCTCTTTTCTCATCCGTTCTGGCGACTGAAAAAGGCAGATTTTGTATACACTGTTATTTTTTATTTTCGCTGTCAGGTAGGCAGTAACAGTTTGCTTGGCGGAAATCGACGGTTCGCTGAACGAACGTGTCAGACAGGCACATGACCAATGTTGTGTACAGAATTTACCAGAATTCTGACGTCTTTTAAACTCCAGTCAAATCGATTCACTTTGACTATGTGGCTGCCGTCTTCACGGCTCACGAAAAGCTTTCACAACGGTCATTGTTTAAAATTAGAGAAACCCTGCGTAGCTCAGTGTTTAGGCCTTCCTTTACTTTGGTAATCATTCTTTTCTCGCTGCGCGAACGCAGTAATGAACTTTGCCTGACTACGATACATTTGGTTATTGCTGATTGCGATTTAGAAGAAAACTGAATACATTTGCTGTTTCATCTATTAAATACTGCTTCTCTACTTTATCCAAGATAATGTTTAACAATTTCAGGATGACTCTACTCATTTCCACCTTAAAATCAATACTTTATTCGTTCCAAAGAATCTCCGCTGCGTTGAACAATGGTAAACATTTTTTTCTCTTTTCTAGCCTTATCATGTTCTTTTCCGTAGGGCAAGAAGCGTTTCATAGACAAGAAACGGGCGATCAGCTTTCGTCTGGCACCTCGAAGTCAAAAGGATCCGCTGATCGTCACAGATGCCAGTGCGTACGTACTAGCTCCTCTGAGCGACGACTTAAAGTCTGTCAGTCTCAAAGACCCGGAACTGCCTTCTGAAAAGCGGCTGGCAGAGCAACACAAATACGGCATATATTTCGATGATGACTACAATTATTTGCAACATCTGAAAGACGTGAATGAAGTGGAAGTCTCCGAATTTGTCGAAGAGCGCTATCGTCTGTTTCTGAACGGCACTGCGGTAGACGCTGGAAAAGACATTGCCACTGAAGTATTCATCCTTTGACTGTCATGATCTGCAAATGAGTTCAAGAAAATTTCATTCGTATTCGCGACCGTAAGATTCACTGAGGACTTTAACCTCGCCTCACGCCTATTTTTGCACCGTTTAAAACTTATACGAAATTTCAGTTTTTCAGTCGTTGTTTTCAGTGCGTAAACTTGTCGAGTACAGATCGGATATCGCAGATGTGCTTTAAAATTACATTATTCCATTCAAATAATCAGATCCATGTTGCAATGATCCCAGTAGGGTATTGGATATGACCAAACTGTCTTATTCTACGGCTCGCTTTTCAGACACCCCATAATCTCTTATGAAACAGGTCCTTAAAGTAATACGTAATAGTTTTGTTGATCTGTTGGATGCTTCGAACCTTTGAGGCCAACCCATTGAGTAGGTCCGTTTGATGGTTGAGCAGAACCATTAGTAAGGTCACCTGATGCAGCTGTGACCCGAAAGGAATAGCAGGCATTGAAACTTAGTGGGCCAAGTTTGAAGCCGAAATACAGGATTGCTTTAATAAATGCAACAGCAAAGCTATATTGGTAAACGGTGTTGTAAATTTGATTATTTCTATTTAAACTACATAATTCAGGATTCTCACGGATGTCTATCATTCCCATGATTCACTTATCGGAAAGAAGGAATTAGGACATCTTCACGTTCTTTTCATCGTTTGCCTCTGCTTCGGGCCCAGCACAATGTCCTTTACGATCGCAAGCTAATCCTTATACTATCGACCTGTGATTTATCAACAAGTGTAGCCCAACGCTCAACTCGTTGCCGGCAGTTAATCTCAGATTCCAAGCATTAATTTTATGGCGTATCCTCTGAATGCTAAACTATGCTTATGTTCACTCTTAATGTTCTAATTTTAGTTGTGAAACTAGTTTTGAAGGATTCATTCTTTATTGGAATATCGCTTTAGTTATTAGTTTTTAATGTTTTTTCTTACTGTAATTTAATTTACCTTGAAGAATTAAGTGACTTTCTTGTTTGTGTATTAAATATCAGAGCAATTCACAAACTAATGCAGTTTAAAGGCAGTAAGGTTCTCAAGCAACGTGCCATCAGACACTGAGGAACGGGTTATGATATGTTAAAGCTTACTGGCAGTTGCGCCTCTTTTTTTCAAGACGTTTAAATGTGCTCTCGTTTTGAACTATTGCTCGATTCTCAGTTTTTAGCAAAATCTCAAGCTTCCGTCGTCGCTTTTTGAAAATAGTGGCATGAGGCTAAAGATCGGTCTTTTAAATCAAGCTGCACCTCAGCCAGGTAACGAAAATGGATAGCTCTAGTCGACGAAGTCGGTCAAGCTAGCTTTTTCAGGTCCACATCCAGAACTTGACTCAGATATAGTCGCGTTGTTGGACGATGAAGTAAGCGACACCGAGGTCCGAAATGATTTGGAGGACGATTTCGTCCTGAAGGCGAATGCACCCTGTTTAAGTGACGGCGACGACGAGCATTCGAATGGTGAAGATGAAGCTTCTGAGAAAAACGAACATCAATGCCAAATGCGAAACAGAGCGGAATCCGAAGTTGAAGCAGGTAGTGAAAAGTCGTTTATGAGTGATGAAGTGAAGTCTCGGTTTACCAACTACTCGTTGACATCGTCGACCATTCGACGGTCTGAAGGCTTAAAAAAGATTGATGAAATGTTTGAAAAGGTATTCAACATTTTTAATGCATGCGCTCAGAGCATAACCTTTACACGGTACTTCTAGATATATGAGCAGTACGATGAAGAAGAGATGGGCGATCTAGAAACCAGTACGAAGATCGAAGGCTTCATCAGACCCAACAGCGAGAGAATGCTTAGTCTCGTTGAAGATTACCAAGAAAAGCGAAAGTCAGAAACGTTAAGTGTTGACTTCGTTCTCACTTTGTTTCCTGATTATGTGAATGCCTTATTGCTAACCATCGCCATTAGGCTCATTTTGCCCGCAAAGCGATTTAAATACCTGCGGGAACGCAACTGTTTGGAGTATCATCAGGTGGCAAATTGTCAAACGTTGAAGCGAAGCAACAGTCAGTTAGTTAAATTTATTAGTTTCAGCAACGATAATTGCTTTCAGATAAAACTGTTTTATCATCAGTCAACAATATGAAAGAAGCAGTGGATTAAAATTTAACAAAAGTTCTCTTTGTCCCGATGATAAACTATTCTTATTCTGCCATATCTGTATTTCTAGCTATAGATTTTCCTGATAGAATACAAGACTGTCTATCGGTAGAGATGTGTTTGCGAGGTGATATACAACTGAGTAGAGTATGAGCTTCTAAGACAGTGTGCTAAGACATGGCAATCTTAGAATTCTATGGCATTTTCGAATCGATTGAGATCACGTAAAGTAATCATTTAAATAGTAAATGTGGTAGAGCTGTGTTGTTTCGAAATTTCTTGCAGATTTGGTACTCAGTGGAATCTACAAACCCTCTTCTGAGTAGCGATTAAAAGTGCATTTAGAAGCTGACGGCTGATATTTCAGACAGCATCGACATAGTCCATAATCAGGTTCAGAGTGAATGTCGGTTGGCAAACAGATCTGTGGTTTGTTTCGTTGTTAACATCACATTACTACGCCCAGCGTTAAACATTTTGCAATGCTGCTGTGCTATGCACAAAGCAGAATTGTTTTTCATTTGTTACACCGCAGTGTGGATTCAGTAGCACTGATGCTTGCCAGTACTGGTATTATCGTTCAGAATGGTTTTCGAATAAACACAGTCCGTTCATACCAGTAGAGTCTGACATTGATTCGCAGTTCAGTCCAGGTCATCAATACTTCGGTTTTACAGTATTATCCCTAAGTATACCCCAATAATTAAATCTCCATGCTGTCTCCGTAGGCTGCAGTTTACGCCGTGGTTAGGTCTGGTTGAAGCTAGGTAATAATACCGTAAAAACTGCAGCTTACTGATCTGAGCTGAACCGAAAATCGTACTGGTTTGGACTGGTCGATGGCGGTATTGACTGCATACGAATTTATTTCATTTTGTACCAGTGTAGACCACTCTACATCGTATAGACGAATTACCACTCGACACGATAGAATATATACTCGAGTATTTACATTTGTTTTTAGTAAGCAATCTACTATTTGATAATTAACACGTGTGCTAAGTACCGTACTGTGATTTTCCGGCGTCTTTCAGAAATGTAGCCCTTGCGCTGACGGAAAATCTTCTGATTTCATGGTTGGAAACTCGAAGACAAGCAGAAAATTTTTACTGAATGCCAGCGTTTCAGGCAGCTTTGGTGTTGTCCATCACTATAATCACAAATGACGGCACATTTAAATTTCGCATATCATCAGCTAAGAAAAGATGTCGGGTTCAATGGTATACTTATTAGGAAGATGGAAGGCGGAATCGCAGAGGGAGCACCTGGCGCTCGATCGTGTGGCGTGGAAAACGGCGGTGCGAGACGTAGCTTTAGCCAGCTAAGCCAGTCATGGCGAGAACCTTAGCGAACGAAATGAAAACGTTGTTTTGCGTTGCTTCACACACGGCATTTACGACACCTGACTGATCTTTCTTCATAGTTAAGAGAATACAATTGCCTAATTTCAATACCCATTCTCGTCTTTTTCGTACGATTTGTTGCCTCTAGCTTTCATATGTCACTTTTAGCTCATTTGAATTTAGGTCTTCCAGTTGAGCATTTGCATTCTCTTAGATATCAGTTCATCACTACTGATGTCTATCGGCCAGTCATGCGATGTAGTCTGCCGCAGTCTGACTCGAGCTACAATGTCATTTTGTTTGTGCTTTCCATTTCAGTTGATCCACGAATGGTTTTGGCTGCTGTTGTCGCTTGCTAGGCGTCTTGAACAGAACGTCCGTTTTGCCCTCATCCCAATCGAATGGGATCTTTGGTGACTCAGATCGGTGGGTTCTGGCATAGCCACCTCTTTTCTTTAAGTTTTTCTTCAGTGCCTCGAGCGGTGCCTCATCTCGTATGACATTTTGTAATGCTTCCGGGTTATTATGCATGATGTTGTGACGGCATTCATTTTGCTTCAATCGAGTTGCTGTCCGGCGCTTTCCGACTCAGTGATGCGGTGAATACGTCCTATGCATTGCAGGCACTTAAATGCCATAGAGTCGTGACCAGCTTAAATAGTTCTAGTCGACTGGAAGCAGGGCCAGCAAAATTATGCGGTCATGCTCGGTGTAATGACTCCCATCAGTCTTACACTACCTCAGTTTTGGTATAAAATATGGAAACATCTTGTAAGCATTATATTTTACAGCAGTGTTAGAATCCTCTTTCCTGTAATATACGTATTGAACGATGGCTATTTTTCCATCTTCATTCAACCAATTGATTCCACTTCAGCCAGTCAGTAAATTTTACACCAGACTTAAAGGAAAAGTAATATTTTGCTTATTAATGCTAGGTCAGCGCTCACGCCCTTCGTTTCTTATTTCCCTTCGAGTTTTGTCGACTTTCTGTTAATTTTCATCTTAACACTTAATAACAGGAGGCATGAAAGTGCGTGATAGCAGTCGCCGTCTGAAAGTAAGCGAAGGATAATCGATTTATCGAATCATACTGATTACGGCAATAAAAAATCTACTGAGAGATTGCTGAACAGCCGACTGCTACGCCCTGGCATACCTTTTGCTGTTGAAAAACCTTTGCGCTTAGAGCCGTTCACTTGTGAGAAACACTGAGCTACGCTGATCATCATCTAGTATTTTTTTCAGAGCAGCACCTTCTGAAAGTTTTTGTTTAGGTGTAGCGAACTAGACCATGATGATGAAGTCGTAAAAATCACCAAACAGCGCATCTTGATGCTTGATGAAACTCCCGAACCTGCGAAAAATTTGGAAATTTCTGAAAAAGGCGACAACTGGGATTGCGAATCTTTTCTCAGTTAAATATTTTATCTGCAAATGTGAGTGTCGCTAAGTCGTTGTTTAGGTACTTATTCTAATCTGTACAACCATCCGGAACTCATAGTTGCTGCTAAAAAAAGGAAGGCACGTACATTGAGTTTTCATTTTTTGATCATTTAAGAGATAATTTTAGAGAAATTCTGAGTGCGATTCAAAATCAGCTATGACCGGAACTTTGTTGCAACATCCGTGGGTCAACGCTTCGCCGTCTTCCCGCTCAACAACGTCCAACGTTCGAAGGAGAGGTGAGAGCAGCGAGGAAAAGAAACTCAGGAAGCAAATTGTAAAGATGGAAAGAAAGGTAACGACGTCGAATTCGAAATTGTTTGAATTCACTGGTATCAATTTCAGGAAAGGAGGCTTGAAAAAAAGGCGAACAGAGAAGCGTTTCACTTGGAAGAATTGAGACAGAATTTGGTTCAGTTAAATGTTTTACGAAATTTGCATCAAATCAAGCTAAGCTAAAGCCGCTTCCGGAAAAAATGGTTGAATTACATATTTACAAGGTGCTATTCTGCGGTCGTTTCGGCGCTGATGTGGCATTTGTTTCTTTTGTTTCATGCTGTAAATGTGCACTGAATTTACTTTATTAAAGAGCTTGTTCGTTTTTCTTACTTAATCGATTTTTTTCTGTTTCGGTTTGATCATTTTCCGCTTCAATATGATGGATATCTTTAGAAAAGCATCAGAGGTCTCTATATTCCGATCATTGTTGCCTTCTACCCCTTGAAATAGCCTTGTATGCAATTTGTTGCTTTTGTAGTCTACGCTATGCTCTTTCTCTTTGTGATTATTACCTTCAACTTAGAATAAGCCATCCCTGGCTTTTGATATTCACGGTATTTTCAGATTTTCAACACTTTCGTTGTATGATTAAGCCAGTTATTCCGTCGTACAAGCAACTATCCATGGTACGCGCAATTGTTGTTATCAGTATTAAACATGTGATGATGTAATTAATCAAATGTATTATCTGTGATGGAGTCTAGCAGTTTTCATTGTAGCATTACAAATGAGGTAGCTGCAGGTGACAGTCATTTCTTTGACGATAATGAACGCGACGATATTCATAAACTTGTTAAGTATACGTTAATATAGAACGTGTTTCTGTATATCGGTATGGTGCATAGCATTCAACGACTAAAGATAAAGATTTCATGACAGCGAAGTGTGATTTAGGATATTCGCCAAAGAGAAGTCAAGTGTACCTTTTACTAAAGTACAAGCCAAATTTACTGCATCTGAACATTCCTCTAATGTTCTTGCGTAAGTGAAAACCAGTGGCTGAGGGGAATTTTGGGCAGTCTTAATTAATTCATTATTATATACCATCAAAATAGAAAAGAAAAATTCAGCAAGTGCATAGGTTGCACGTAACAGTTAGAAGTCGAAGTCCACAAATGGTTTTTTTGCAACGGTAAAGGCAAAAAATTCAATACAAGTGAGCATTTAATATTTCCAGCTTACATGGTTAAGAAACAGAATAGCACTAAGGGTAGAACCAAGTGTAAATTTTTTCTTTGTGAATTAATCTCAGGCTGGAGGATTCAATCGGTTACATGCTATACAGGAGTTGGTAATGGCTCTAAATCTAATCTGACTTCACGCGAGGCCGAAGCGCCCCTTACCAACTCTGCTTTACGTCAGATTACTAAGAAATCGTTGTAGCTCGCTCATCCCATTTGAAAGTCCTTATTGACATGAACGAAGTCTGTGATCGAATGTAATGCAGCAAACATATGGGATCATTGGCCAGTTGCTACGGGCCACCCTGGCAATATATGTTGGTAGCAGGTGCTGTGTCAGATTAAAGGGCGTTAACTCGAAAGGCGAATTGGAATGACGAGCAGCGTCCTACGTGAACTAACCAGAACCGTCGAACTAAAGCAGAGCTAACTCTGAAGACTAAGCTCTGTGTTCTAGTCCGTCTTCATCCTAATGCTCATCTTCGGTAATGAGTCCTCGGCCATCACTGAAAAGTCTCGATACCGGCTACAAGCAGTTTAAATCGACTTTCTGAGACAGATCGTTGGCCGGATGGACGGATCTTCGTCTGCAGAAGCCAAACAACTGCCGACCACACGACCACTTGCAGAGACGAATCCTGACCGTCCTGAAGAAGGCACGTAAGAGACGAACCGAAATATTTGTACTGTTCATCCATTTGATTGACCAACTTATTCGCTTGTGCTATGTATACATATACCGCTGTAACGCATTTTTTGTGTTTCAGCACTTCGAATTCTTTTTCATACGCGTGGATGAAGCACTACAACGATGCTCGTTTCTAATACATTTTGCTTGGAGAGGTTCACGTCCAAACTGATCGTAAGAAATTGTTATTGCAATTGCCGAATCTTATGTTTGAGATCCGTCATGTCATATAAGAAGGAGATGCGGTTGTACACAAATCGCAAGTGCGTTGGCTGCTTTCTATCAGTACTGATATCGTTACATCAGTTTAGCAGGTTTAAACAACGACTTCAAGGCCGTAGTGAAGAGCCCTGATGATCTGGTAATTTCATAGAACATTTCTCGATGAATCCTGATACGACATGGTTTTCTGAACAGATTCGCTTCAGTCATGCAGCCGATATTCATTTCCACGATCAGGTTGGCGCAGGTACGGTTTAGACATGTCCGTGCAAGGCGTTTAATACAGAGGTCAATTTTGTCGAATCGAACGCCTGTCTGTACTAAATGGATACAAAACAGAGTGGTAGTTGACATTTGTTCTTCTCCGTCAACTGCTAGATCACATGGACATGGTCGATTGTAAAAGACCGCATTCGATAATTAACCTATTCCTGACTTATTATCATTTCGAGGTAATTCAGAACATGGTTAAGAATGATGCGGGTGAGGATATTTGTAGATTTGCTACAGGAGTGCCAATCGGTCGACAGTTTTTGAGAACTACGGTTTGCAATTCTGATCTACTGCCCTGATTGTCGAACTGCCTTTAAAGCGGGAGTTGTCGTTGTTTGACATAATCATTTATGGCACCCTCGCAAACCTGCAAGCTGCTTAATGACTTGCCATTTCCAAACGTTTCCACCTATCGTATTTTGACATTTTGAACCAATTAACGGTGTCAAAAATGTTAACCATCGGTAAGAGATCTCTGTTTAGTTTCTTCCGGCATCTGGGCGCATTTCTATTACTATGCATCTAGGTCCCGACTACACACTCATTAATGACAGCGGTGAACAGCAAAGACCATGGAACACAGCCTCGCATGACGCCTATGTTGTTCATTTTAACATTGTACTTAATTATATTAACTGTGAGAAACTGGAAGCGATACGATAAGGGCGTTGCTAGCGGTCAAACGATCGATGCATCAAGGAATGTCGACTTTCCAATACGCCTGTATTTGTCTAGACAAATTTAAATTTCGTTCACACTGCAAGTGAGGGCGTTGACTGTCCATACGTTTTCAAATCAAATTAACACTAATCAAGGACATCGGGAGCTAACTGTTCAATGGCTGACAGTAAGAGGTGCTTAAATAACTTCAGGATAAGTGAAGTCAATGCTATGGGCCAAAATGCATCAGTACGTTTTGTCGCCTCGCTCCCATTTGGTACTTGACAGCCTGATACCGCATACTGTGTGAAGAAAACAGTGCGTGGCCTAAACAATAGTTAAAAATATTACGTATTGTATCGCAAATCTCACTTGAAATAAAGCCAAGAGTTTTTCAAAGCCTGGGGAATCGTTGGATGCGTAACATAACCCTCCGGCAGGAAGGTGATAGCAAGAAGGAACAGAAACCTGTCAAAAGGCTCTACTAACAAGCACAGCGCATATACAAGAGGCAACAACAGCTCACATGAGATATCATAGTACTCCATACCTATACAGTAATCTCGCCATTCTTCCAACACGGAGTAGTTTTTTATATACCTGCGGACTTTTATCATTCTCGAAAATTAATACAGGTTGAACTGCTGTCTGCACTTCATGTACAAGGTTCGCCATTGTCTTGCTGCGAGCGATGGAGGAGGGGGATGACCGCTTCGTCTATTGTTTTGCCCACGTTTTCTGTTTTATATGGGGACAGACTCATGCCATTTTGTTTGCCATATGTCAAAGGTGGTGCGCATAAGCGGGGAGGGGTTGGGGGTGTTCCAATTGCCTCCGCTTAGTCACAGTAGGTCATTACCGACTGTTGCAATATATGTGCACCGCATGGGCGAGGACTGTATTGAGGTTAAGTTATCTGCAACCTATGAGGCAAAACTATATTAGAATTGACTTTTTATCCCGATTAGCAAAAATACATGATTAAATTATCAGAGTACATTTCAGCAATCTTCGAACTGGTGTATGCCATCGCTGTGTAGCTGAGGATCTTGACGTATCTAAATGAACATACATGCTTTTATCAGCAAAATGTACGTTCACGTCGCTTTCATGCAACAATCTATGCAATTTCTTGATGCCTAAGAGATTGTTTCACATAGATAACGATTACCGTATTTGTAGGCTCTTTGTCTTTCTCGCCAAAGGCACTTTAATACCTTTCAGGTGACTAGATGCTTGGCTGCTTTGATCGGTTATAATAATTGGAGAACCTCAAAAATGTTCTTCAAAACATTAGTTATTTTGCTTTTCCTCGAAAGGAGTTTGTCAAAATTACCATGGAACATTAGTGGCTTTGTTTTCACTGTAAGAGGAAGCTGGATTTCGGCATTTTCTGGATGAATGGCTTGAAATCTGGTCTAGGAGGATTCAATCGTCATTTTCTTCAAACTTTCAAGTTCATAGGATGGAAAATTCTTATTAATTACATTGGCATAAGGATTGTTCTATCAAGCGAAAGATAAGAAGGACTCGAACAACGCATTGACCTTGTAGTACAAATCGTGTAATGCAGCGAGAAAAATTTCTGGCGAATTCACAACTATTCGAACAAGGACCGTATGCTCCAGAAATGTTTGTAGCAGCAAACATAAACAGAATTTTGAAACCATAATGCGCGCTCCTTTCAGCTTATCTCCGCTTGCTCAAAATGTACATATTTACTCCGATTAACAATGAGGATTAAAAGAATTTCTGCACATTGCGAGAGTAAGCGCCACAACAATACAAACTGCCCTCCTGCAATTGTTGATATTTGATTGAAATGAATATTTTATCACTGCCATCTTTGCCGAGCAAATGCAATAACCCCATTACCACAAAATTACTTGGTAACATATCGGCCTAGTCGGAGGGGTAAGAAACTGCGAAAATAATTATATTTAACATGAAACTACGACTTTTGAAATTTAAGTACAAAAGCGTTAGCGAATTATCGAACATTTAAGATTTCCTCATCCCTGATCACTTATTTCCCAAGGAACATACATTTAAAAACCTGTTAAACAATTAAAAATAAATTGTTACCAACGTTAGCTAGCTGTTTCTACAATGTCGTTCATACAGTAAAACTGAAGTATTTACATACAGCCAAATGAAACGTATGAGTCGTCCGTTGGAATGTCGAATTGCTGTATATGGTCTCCTTTGAGTTTTCCAAAATTTGATATAACTAATATGTATAACAGTTAGTTCCGAACATGCACTAGTATAAAGACAGTAGGTTAAATGAAGTACCAAATCACACGGAAAACATATTTCAATGACAAACACGATGCAAATTATTCAGGGCTCGCATCAAATTTCGTTCAGGGTAGTAGACGAAACAGGCATAAAATGTGGTTGGAAATATGTATATTGTTGGTTGCTAAAATTTTCTACGGTTTAATCCACACACTAACAAATATCAGGTCTTTCAAATCTAGCTGAATCCAGCATTATTTAGCATCACGTAACAATAAGCGCAACAATCGCTGATTGGATATGGCTTTCTGCCTGCTGCGGAAAAACTATTTTATGCATAGTACGGACAATATGAAGAATTCTGGCTTTAAATGTTACAACGGATACTACAGAAAGAAATTCGAAACGCAACCCGCTCCGCCTTGAGAAATGCAAAGGGCCGTGAAACACATGCCGAAACGTCGTTACTAATTGATCACCCCATTAGGCATATCGTTTACACTGTGTATAAATAAGCCGTGTTTGTATGCTGTTTCCATATAGGTTAAATGATAGTTCGGAATTTTTATCAAAAATCAAACGGGCTACCTCGAGGCTATCTATTCCGTTGATGCACTATTGAGGTACTTCCTAAATGCAGGATGTCAGCAATTTGCATTTTTCGGACGCTACTTGTTCCGCAGGATCAGAGTATCGTATGCAAAAGTTTCATTAGTCGCGAGGGTTGTGTCGAAGTCGCGACGATTTGTAGTGAGATGATGTTGTGAGGCAATGATTTACTGAGGAAGTTTTGATATGATTGCTTTCATGTATATGTGCGGAGTTTCGCGATATCAAGAAATCGTGCAAGGTAATACAGGTTTTGGCGAAGCTTGCACGTGAACGTTAGCGTTAGATAAGTTAAAAGTACGTATTCGCATCTTTTGATGCATCAGCTGCGTGCTGAGATATAAAACAGAAAAAGTTCGAGGAGGTGCATTGTGAATCTGGGCGTAACGTTCGTTCATGTCGGTGCCGGTGTCCGTTATGCTTGTCGTATTTCCGCCGTAAAAATTTTGCAACGCAGTTCATGGTCACCGCTCTTCCCAGACCTTTATCGTTTGTCACTTGGAACCGGTCCGTGATGCTGGGAGGAAGGCATCTTATTAATCGGCAATTCGCTTGCGCGTGTCATTTCGTCTTGATGTCTAAATCCTGTGATGAATTAGCAGGCATGATCTGCGAAGCCGCACGTTTAGCTGTTCCGTTCGTTCGATTTGTGCATCTGTCCATGATGATGAGTCATTATGTTGTAGTATACTCGCCGGATGGTGTTCGAGTCAGTGGTTGTCGAGGTGCTGAACAGATTTTTGGGAACCTACGTGGAGAATCTAGACGCATCGCAGCTGAAACTGGGCATTTGGGGTGGCGATGTGGCTTTGAATAATCTGGACATCAAAGACAGTGCATTGGTAAGACATATGCGGAGCCGCTCTTCATGATTGTTGTAGATTTCTGAGGCGTGCTCGTAACGTCGATCTGAACTCTGAGGTCAGTAAGTTCGGCAGTCGGTGTGGAAGCTCGATATTAAGGCACCAGTGATTAAGAACTGACAGTTGGCAGTTGTACGGATTTTCGTTGCGTACCCTGGCATTCCGACAGTTTTTCTCAGCGCGACGCGCGGTTATTAATTTTTAGCGCAGTTCAACAGCATTGTGCGAAACCGCTGTAGCGAGTTTAAAGACGTAGGCAAGAAGCTGATGGTGTGATCATGGCAACTCGAAGAGGTATTGAAGCACCTCTTTCAGATGATCACTTTCGGGCTTCTTTCTGTCACTACATTTTCCGTTTCAGACGGCTATTCATTAGCCCCGCTATGTTTCCCTGCTTTCAAATCTGCCCTGCTCCCACGCACATACATAACCATCTGCGTAACTGTATTTTACCCGTCAGGTCGTTGTCGACTTAATCGCAGGGGTTATTCCTGCGCACTAAAAGCGTGAATCTTATGAGTTACACAACATGCGTGACAAATACCTAGGCGGCCGCCGTAAGGTCAGTTCTATCATGTAGAGCTAGCAGAAGATGCCATGACAGCTGTTTTTGATGCGTACATTTTTTCTGTTCACTTGCTTCTAAACGTTTGTAATTGTTCAACATTGCTTTACGACGTCTTGTGCAATTTTGAACTTACGTAGTGGATGTCATTGGTTGATTGTCTTTGAATCCGCGGTTCACGTGACTCAGCGAAAGATTCTCGGACGTTGTCTCAGAATGCGAAATAAGTTTCATGAAATTTTAAAATGAATCACAGATTCTGACAATTCTCAAAAATTCTTTTTGATAATCTGTTATCTTCCCATAACCTTGCAAAACTCGTAGTGACCACAAATTCAAACATTTTAATTTCGCTACATGCTAATGACCACATGATAACAAGTCGCTAAGCTAACCAGTTGCAACCGCCGGTAAACATAAATATACGTTATTTGTGCGTAGGTTGATTCTCTTGTCAATATGCAGCCTCTGTCAATACTATATTTAGAATATTGTCAATACCATATTTGGAAACGTACCCGTTGCACCTGTATTTTGTCAGTATCGGTTAATATAAAAGAAAATACCATTTTGTGAATGAATTACATTTTCCAGGATCTCGAAGTGTATTTATCAGTTGAATTCACTGATAGTTACTGTCAGTCGTCTATCATTTTTCTGCAATGGCAAGGCAATTCTAGCAATGGCAATTCTAGAAATTTTTCTGCAATGGCAGGCAGTTAACGACTTCTTCAGGAAGCGATCGCATGTCGAAGGAATATAATGACAGACAGCGGCAAAATATGTGAAGAATTTTTATTTCTAGTTTCAGACTTGCAGCTTGTTGCTTCGCCAGTCTGTTTGCATCTAGTCGTGTAGGAGGCCATTTGAGTGGCTTACCTTTGTTGGTATTTGAGTACCTGTTGTACACCGGTGCGTCCTACCATATTGGTTTGTAGAGCTGTCTTGCTGGTCTCTAATGATTTTTAGAGAGTAATGTCTGTGTTTAGGTACTTTTGCTAAACGTAGGCATTTGTAAATGCATAAGGACCTGTTGAGATGACCTCCTAGATATTTAGGAACAGTCATTCTATGCAGTATATAACGAAATTCTTGTTTGGATGAATTAAACACTGATTAATTTAATCCGGTGTACGAACTCGTATTTACGAGACTTAGGAGTTGATCTATGATTGGTCTACTGCTTAGTTAGGATCAGGAATTATTATTTTTGCAAAAGTTAAGCACCAAGAATATGCGACTAACAGTAAATATTAACGGTTAACGCAGGAGATCCGGATGATGTTCTGCTAACCTAGTCAAGGTAAGTTAAAAGTAAGATAAGTTGAAATGCTGGGACGCGCTTCCACGTATTTAGACTACCATAGCCCAGGCGTTATGGTATTTTCGATGAGGGTTTGCTTACCTGAGAGTTTTCATTCGCTCATTCGCTACCTATGGTTCAGTGATTTGGGACGTTTTGCTGCAGTGTTCTGTTCTTATGACTTTTTATGTCAAACCTCCTCCTAGATATGCGTATAAGCAATAGTTAGGTGAGAAAAGCGTTACAGATTTAAGTTTTTGGTTCTGACTGAGTAACGGCAATGCATTTAATTGCACTGACAAGTAGTAGATTGCATTTTTCGTTAAGGACATTTAGACATAAATGTTCCACTTTTAACTCGTTCAGTTCTTCGAGCTTCTAGGTATTTTGACTATTCTAATAGCGCAAAGAATGCTATTTTCTTTCTGTTCCTAGGAATTGTTTGCCCGACGTCGTCCGGTTTTTCCGCTGGTCTTGCTAAAGAGTCGCCATACTCCATTCACATGGATACACGTCACGACGCAATTTCCAGTGTACTGCAGACGGTGACCCCCCCACTCTTTCCATTCGGGTTTGTATTCAGAATGTCGTTTACATGAACGGAGTTACCTCAAAAGCCGTATAGCAATCAATCTGTTACTTCGCCAGTTCATCTTTGTACATAATTCCCCACCCCTGTAAGCAGTGGCGATGTCAAGACTGCATGTTGGAAAGTTAGTGTGCGAGTTTGCAACACTTTCGCTGTCAATTTAAATCGATTTTGCAGATTGTTCGTGATCATCCCTGTCGCATATTAGAAATGATCCATAAATTGTGAACTGTCAGCTTTTGCAGATTTGAGATGATTAGAAAACTATCCAGGCACATCTGCCTCTTCCACCAAAATGGAATATTGAACATAGAAATTGGATGAGTAAAATGGAATTTTAGCTTTCATTTGCTGCAGTGTAGTTGAGGTTATGCAGTTGGAGGTGACTGTGCTGTCCGAAAAGTTGCGAAAGTTTACATCAGTTTTGATGTTAAACCAGAACCGACGTGGCTGATTATAGGTAGTAGTGTCTCCGGCGTATTTAGGTGCTCTGTAATCCCAGTGTTTTTAAAAAGGTCGTAATGACAAAAGTGATGAATAACACAGTAAACCCTGTTCATTGTGTTCCTGTTTCAAAGGTG